GTTTCTCTGTGTAGCTTTGTGCCTTTCCTGGGACTCGCTTTGGAGACCAGGCTGGCCTCGAACTCACAGAGATCCACCTGCCTCTGCCTCCCGAGTGCTTGGATTAAAGCCATGCGCCACCATTGCCCGGCCATGGTACTATTTCTAAGACCTTAGGTGAGGTGTTTGGATGCTGAGAATTTTTAAGGAAATAGATGGAGGGAATAAGGGCCAAATCCATGGAGTCCACTTCAGCTGTAGTTAGCTGAGTGCCAAGTCTTCTGTTTGGTCCTATAGCGTTATCACTGCCGGCTATGGTGGCACATGCCGCCTTCTTTTTTTTTTTTTTTTCCCCATTATCATTGAGGAGAAGACTTGAAGTAAGTACTCTGTGTGACTTGCTTCCTGTTTCTGCACCACTTTACCCCAATCACAGCTTTCCATACAGATTTGCAAGGCATCGTGTGAGGGACACTGGGGCAGGAGTGGGCTCCTCTAGCTTGGGACTCACAACTGTCTATTTGAATGCTTTTATCTGTTTCCTTAAAAGTGTTTCAGGGGAGGCAGCGGCAGGTGGATCTCTGTGAGTTCAAGGCCAGCCTGGTACACAGAGCGAGTTCCAGGACAGTTAGGGTTACACAAAGAAACTCTGGCTCAAAACAAACAAACAAACAAACAAACAAAAGCATTAGCTGCTCTTGTAGAGGACCCAGGTTTGGTTCCCAGGACCCACGTGGTAACTCACAACCATCTGCAACTCCAATTCCAGGGAATCTGATGCCTTCTTCTGACCTCCATGGCACCAAACATACATGTGCTGCATATACATATGTGCAAGCAAAACACACAAATTTTAAAAAATAAATAAATATTGTAGATGGTCATTACCAACATCAAACTATGAAAATGCTAACTGAAAACTAATGGAACAGTGAAATCTCGGCAGCAGTAGCTAGATGCATTATGTTATGTTAGCCCATCCAGCCCAGGTGTATGCCTTTAATCCCAGCGCACAGGAGGCAGAGGCAGGTAGATATCTGTGAGTTCGAGGCCAGCCTGGTCTACAAAGTGAGTTCAGGACAGCCAGAGTTACACAGAGAAACCCTCCTAGCTTGAAAAAACAGAAACAAAAAAGTCATTGTTACCAAAGAAAGAAGCTGTGATTTTCTGTGATATACACAAATGGATGCAGGCAAATCAGTAACTTTTCAAAGTTCATGGTTCTGTGGTAGAATTTGCATGCAAAGAATTTATCTCTTTGAAACTATTCAATAATATAGAAAAGATTAAAATAATAACAATTCATCTGTCTTATGACTGGGCATGTTCATCAGTGCATTAGCCTGTTTGGGGGTGGGGAGGAACCAAACCATTTGTGTGTGTGTGTGTGTGTGTGTGTGTGTGTGTGTGTGTGTGTGTGTGTGTGTGAGAGAGAGAGAGAGAGAGAGAGAGAGAGAGAGAGAGAGAGAGAGAGAGAGAGAAGTTAGCTTTGCTTAATTGTAGTTCAACTCGGAAGATTCTCCACCAAATTTTACCAGTACTGTTACAATGATGAGGAAACCCTTGGTGTATAACAGTCCAGATTGCCCTAGCAGTAAAATAGCAGATTACAATGTCCTGTGTTCTCCTCGAATTGAAAATGACTGCTTTACTTAGTAGTGTTTAGGAGCACTCTGAAGAGCTGCGCCTCCTCTTCCCCCGCCCTGCTCACATACTTCTTAACTGATATAGCTCCCTTCAAGGGAGGCAAAGGATCTTGAGTGAAGGATGGATGAAGGTGCTACCCCCAGGCAGGGTGGGTAAGTTGAGGGGTTGGAGGTTCAGCTGGCGCATTGACTCCTCCCTTGGCAGAGACGGAAGGGGGTGAGCTCTGTTACTTAACGATAACTTGGCTGCCTTGGTTTGCTGCTTCCCTGGCCTTGCTGGCTACTAGGTCCCGCTGTAAAGAGTCTAAGAGAACATCAAACTCGAGTCAGCGAGCTCCGCCAAATGCTGTGTGGCAGAGCACCCTAGTGAAAGCTGAAGGCTATGGAGAAAGGGAGAAGCTCAATGACTTAATGAAGGAGAAACTGGCCTTGGCTTTGTCCACATTGTCTCTGTCCGGAGCGCTGACTCCACACCTTGTTGTGGTTGAGCATGTCCACACTGACTATGGATATCTGGATTTGGAGAAGGTATTTCATGCTGTTTTCCTCTCTTTCAGGTTTCAAGTGCCCCATTTGCTCCAAGTCTGTGGCTTCCGATGAGATGGAAATGCACTTTATAATGTGTCTGAGCAAACCTCGCCTCTCCTACAATGGTAAGGCTGTCTGTATCATCTGCTTCCTGATGTCAAGATGAGTTGGACAGTTGGGACATAGCCTCCAGGTTGGGGGGGGAGGGCTCTGTGTAGTTTTCTTTTAGTAGCAGTATCTGTGTGGTAGTGAGGAACCTACTGTTCCAAAGAGCCTTGGTTATAAGTTGGGGTAGCTGAGGAGTGGCCAAGGCAGGGACAAAGTTGGGGTAGCTGAGGAGTGGCCAAGGCAGGTCCCTGCTCAGGGCTAGAGTGGTGAGAAGACTCAGCATAGTTTGAGTATTGTATTCCTACTCAAAAATTTCGAGGACTAGAGATGTAGCTCAGTGGTAAATGCTTGCTGACATGTACAAGGCCCTGGATGCCATTTTAGCAACGCCCCCCGCCACACTGCCATCATAATTTGTAAATTTTAGATTTTATCGCAAGGTTATATCTCTTACTTGCTGGCCAAAGGATCCCAGTTGCAGGAGGACATGCTATCTGTCTTGGTACATAACAGCCTGAAGACCTCTGGACATGCCAGAAGGCCAGCTACAGGGCAGGCTGTGGCCCTGTCTTTCCTCCCAGTGAGCCAGCCCTCTTTCTCGAGCTGACAGCCTTTCCTTTTCTCTGTGACTGCCATGCTCCTGGGTCTACTGCTTTACCCATCCCCTGCTCAAGCTCGGCTTTGTCCGTTACCCATCTCTGCCTGGGACCATGGAAAGAGGGGTTTTCCCTGGATGGCTCTCATCGCTTGTCACAGTCATGGCCTCAAATACTGTACTCACTTTGTCTCACATGTGTCGGACCTTATGAAGACTGTTCTGTCCTGTGGGTTGCTGGCCAGAGCTCTCTCTAGACACTGCCTTTGCTGTCAGAGCACAAAGACGCTTCACAGGGGGCGTGGCCTGAGAGAGCTTGGCTTTTAGAATCATTGGGGAGAACTTTGTAATAACTGTGTCTGTGGCAGACAAAGTGATGTCAGGACTATGCAAAACAAAGTCACCTCACCTGCGTCTCCAGCTCCTTTCCCAGAGAACCCAGGTCTTCCTATGGACCATCACTTGAGGGGCTGGTGCTGCTGGTCCATCCTTCTCACCTCAACCCCTGAGAGCAGTGTTTCTCAACCTTCCCAGTGCTGTGACCCTTTAACACAGTTCCTCATGTCATAGTGACCCCAACCATAAAATTATTTCCTTGCTACTTCGTAACTGTAATTTTGCTACTGTTATGAATCATAATGTAAATATCTGGTATGCAGGGTATCTGATATGTGACCCCTGTGAAAGGGTTGTTCATCCCCAAAGGGGTCACGCCCCACAGGTTAAATCATTGCCTTAGAGCAAGGGAAGGTTGGCCACCTGAGACAGAGCCACTGTGGTTCCCTCTGCTCCTTGGTTTTCTCTCATCCTTGACATGAGAAACCATCTCTCCCTGTCTGTAAGCGCCAGACTTGCAGTTCAGAACTCTCTTTCAGAGCCAGTCCTTTCCTGCCAGAGGCAGGGAGGCCAGTCACCTCTAGCCCTGTGAGTAGAATTTATCCTAAGGTGATGGAGGAGCTTCAAAGCCCATGTCTGGCTCCTCTGTACACATGACTAATGCAGAAAGGAGGCTGTGGCCCCAAGGACACCTCATACTCAGTCTGTTTTTTCTTTTCTCTGAAGACACTGGAGGTAAGAAGACAGTATTTGGGGCAGGGTGTGGTGCCTCTCGCCTTTAATCCCAGCACTCTGGAGGCAGATGCAGGTGGATCTCTGAGTTCCAGAACAGCCAAAGATACACAGAGAAACCCTTGGGGGGAGGGGAGCAGTGTTTGTCACCTGGGTCCTTAGGCCAAAGCTTCCAAGGCAAGGGCTCTGAGCTCACTTTGGTTTTACTGGTAACATATTCTACCTAGTTTCTTATCACCCCAACCTCACATACTTTACCTTATCTACTTTAAAAAAAAAAAAAAAGAAAGAAAGAAACGGATCCAAAAAGATGACTCAGCAATTAAGTTTGGCTGCTCTTTCAGGGGACCTGAATTCAATTCCCAGCACCCATGTGCCAGCTCATAGACATCTATAACTCCAATTCCAAGAGATCTAATGCCTTCCCGCTTCCACAAGCACCAGCACAGACATGCATACAGTTAAAATACCTCTACACATGAATAAATCTTTAAAGTTTTCAAAGAAAAAAGTAAGAGGAAATCTCTGGCTAGAAGCCAGGCGCTCTTGGGACCGCCCTAGAAAGGGCCGGTGTGAAGCTGTCTTCAGTGGTGGTGACATTCTGTTTCCTCGTGAAAGGTGACTGCAGGGGCTGCAGAGGGGGCTTCGTGGTTTAGAGCCCTTGTTCTTGGCACTCAAATGAAGGTTCACCATCTCCTTGGACACCAGGCACACGTGTGGTACATAGACATACATGCAGACAAAACATTTATACACACAAAATCGTAAAATCAATCTTTTAAAAAAGTTCAGTGACTGGAGGGCTGAGACTGCAGCTCAGGAGTCGCGTGCATGCCTCTGGTGTGTGCAGCTCTGTATTTCATCCCTAGAAGGAGGGAAGGAGAGTGGGGAGAGAGAGTTAGCACCAGTGACCTGGAAAGCAAGCTCTGGAACCTCCTGGTCACAGCCCTGGAGACCTACACATGCACACACATTCACTCACACCTTCCACAGTTGCTGGCTCCAATGGAGGAAATTTCTATAAAATGTATGATAGTTATATAAGATGAAATTTAGTTACCACCAAAGAAACAAAGTAGGAGCCTCCTAATGAGGCAGATAGAAAGTAGTATTTTTCTTATTAAGAGGGTTGGCCAAGTGGAAGGTTGGAAGGCCTCCAGTAGTTGCCTGCCAGATTATTTTTTAAAACTTAGGGAAAGCAAGACCAGTTTTACTAGTCCAGCAAGTGCCCGGAGGAGAAGAGAACTGGCACCTAGTGCTGCCGGGGTTAGGACTCAGGCAGGCAGGCCAGTGACCACCAGAGACCCGCTGGAGGGACAAGCCCCAGGCAGCTGCCATTAGTATTCTCACTCTTCCGGGCCTTTCTATGGCAGCCCTGGAACCTAAGACTCCTAGAAGCTGAGGGAGTTACAGAGAAGAGAGGAAGGAGGTAAGGGGGCCTCTGGGTAAACTTGATTGCCCTCAGTACCTGTATCTTTCTCTTTCTAAACTCTGGCCATCTACTGCCCAGGTAGCAATACAGAAGCTCCTGCGATGGAGGTATGACTTTTCCTTAGCAGAAGAGCATGTGACAGGGCGGTGGTGGCCCACGCCTTTAATGCCAGCACTCAGGAGACAGAGGCAGGCAGATCCCTGAGTTTGAGAACAGTCGGGGCTACACAGGGAAACCCTGTCTTGACAAACCAAGCAAACACAGATGAGGAAGAAAAAGAAGGAGGAAGAGGAAGAAAAGAAGGAAGAAGGAACAAGAAAAGAAAGACAGAAGAAGGGATATTCTGGTGAGGCAGGTGTTTTCCTACAGCGTCAAGGACGTGGCAACCAGTATGCTGCCTCAGTAGATGCCGGGAGTTCTGTTCTGGGATACAGGCCCATGCTTGGCTTCTTGATTTATGATGCTCTCCCTTCTCTGCCAAGAGGTATTGCCCTATCTTCAGAGCTCTGAAAATGCTCCTTTCCTTATTATTTATTGTGTGTTCCTATGTGTCTGTGCCCACCCATGGGTGTGTACCATTGCCCCCAAGTGGAGGCCAGAAGACGACATGGTGGGGACTATGTGGATTCCAGGGATTGGACTCGGTTTGTCAGGCTCTGCAGTAAGTTACCTACTGTGCCGTCTTGCCAGCCCAACATACTTTCTTGGGGGTGTGTGTGGGGGGACGGACATGTATGTGCACATGTGGGTGCATGTAAAGGCCAGAGGTCAACATCAGATGTCTTCCTCACCTTTAATTTTTTATTTTTAGATTTACTTTTTTCATTTTATGTGTATGAATGTTTTACCTGCATGCATATGTGTATACCACATGCATGCCTGGTGCCCTTGGAGGTCAGAATATGGTATCAGACCCCCTGGAACTAGAGTTACTGATGTTGTGAGCCTCTAGGTGGGTGCTGGTAACTGAACCCAGGTCTTCTGCAAAAGCAATAAGTGCACTGAACTACTGAGCCATCTCTCCAGTCACCTCTTCTTATTTTTTGAGATGGGACCAGACTCTCACTGAACCTACAGCTCACGGATTTGGCTAGGCTGGCTGGCTAGTGAACTCTAGGGATCCTCCTGTCTCTGCCTTTTCGGGGCTGGAATTAGAGATACGCACCGACATGCTGGGTTTCAGATGGGTGCTAGGAATGGGATCGCACATTGTGTCTGAGTGGCAGGCACTTTACCAACTGAGTCCCCGCCCTAGTCCACATAAGCTACGAGGCCAGAGGAGAGGACACTGCATGGAGAAGCTGGAAACAGCTTTGTGACTGTGAAACATCCCAGGCCTTTATTTAGTTGGCTTTACCCCCCTGGGTATCCTCATTGCAGCCAAATTTGTCAGAACCTTGGATTACACCTCATAAAATCCAGGGGTTGCACACGATCAGAGAGACAAAGGAACAGCCACAGCCACTTCTCCCCTCGCCACCTCCTCAGCCAATCTCCAGACTCCTCAGGCTGAATGCCTCGGAGTCCTCAGCCAAAAGGGCCTCTCCAGTTCCTGTGTCCTCCACCTTATGTGCCTTTCTCTGCCCAGCCATTTCAACCTTCCTAGTGCTGGGATTAATGGTGTGTGTGCTTCCCAATTCTGGTAGCAAAGGCATGAAATCTCAAGTGCTGGCATTAAAGACTGACTCCCAGTACTGGGGTTAAAGATGTGTGCCACCACTGCCTGACCTCTGTGGCTAGCTCTGACCTTTGATCTTCAGGCAGGTTTTATTAGAGTACCATAGAAAATATTACCACCACAAGGTGTATTGGGTGGTACAATTCCTCTGCTGATAGGAGACACTCTGCTTAAGATCTCAAGAGAGGACACTCCAGCATTACTAAGAAAGGAATCAGAGAACCTTGTCCTGTCTGCCAACATATTGGGCCAGCGGCAGCTCTGTACTTGACAGAGATGGTGTAAGACCAAACCTGTGCCTCTCCTATACCTTCTGCTAGGAGTTTTCCCTTTTCTTCCATGTTCCTTATTGACATACTGCAGGGAGAATGTAGATGCATGCTCCTGCTCTTAGCCAAGTCTGAGCTGGGCCTCAGCCTTCCCTCCCAAGCCCCATGCCACCAAGAGTTCTGGGGCCCTTGGTGAGTGCCTTGCCAGAGCACTCCATGGTTCAGCTAAGTCTTAGGAGGTCAGAGGCAACAGTGCTGGCTCTCAGACTGCCCTACCCATTGTGAGCACCTGGAGACCCCAAAACACCCTCAGAAATGGGAAGCTTACGCTTCCTGTGAGATGGGTATTATTTTTAAGCCACCAGGGAAGTCACTCGTGGCCTGGACCTTTAAAGGAAACAGGTAGGATGGCAAGAGCTCAGGCTTAGAGTCATGGCAGCTGCATAGATGTCCCTCTGCCAGGGTCTGCAGGACTCTCTGAGATCTCTCTGAAATTCTTGGTCTCTAGATGGCTCAGGAAAGCAGGGGCCCTTTTCTTCTTCTTCTTCTTCTTCTTCTTCTTCTTCTTCTTCTTCTTCTTCTTCTTCTTCTTCTTCTTCTTCTTCTTCTTCTTCTTCTTCTTCT